TCACTATGTAGACCAGGCTGGCCTCAAATTCACAGAGATCCACTGTCTCTGTCTCCTAAGTGCTGGAATCAAAGGTATGTGCCACCATGCCTGGCTTGTTTAACTTCTTTTGTGAATGAATGTTTTGCTTACATGCAAGTATGTGTACCACCTGCGTGCCTGGTGCTGAGGGAGTCTGAAGAGGACTTTGGATGCCTTGGAATTGGAATTACGGTTGGCTGTGCAGAATCACACTCTGGACTTCTGCAAGAGGTCTCAACAACTGGGTCATCTTTCCAGTCCCCCAAAAGAAGGTTAAAATGAAAGCCATTCAGGGCAATAGTATATAAAAACCCAAACAAAAAACCAAACCCAATAACTGACAGATGTTAGAGTTGAGACAAACCCTAAAAACATTTGCTAAAAGAACCTAGATGCAAAGGTCTGTATAGTTTCCTCTCTATAGGGCAGGTCCTGAATGTGCAATGCAAATTTATGGAACAAAAGCAGATCAAGCATTGCATAAGGCTTGAGGCAAGAATGAAGATTAACTACAGATTACTACAGATAGGAATGAAGGAACTTCAAGGGTAACAGATGTCTCAGAGGGAGGGTGGTAGCGGTCATACTATTCTATACATTTATTAAAACCCATTAAATCAGAGGTAAGTAGCTCAGGAGGAAGGTGTTTGCCACTGCTCCTGGTGACCTGGATGTGATCCCTTTAACTCACATGGCGGAAGGAGAGGACCAACTTCCACAAGCTGTTCTCTGACCTTACAGACACTAGATAGACAGACAGAAAGATCGATAAATAAAATGAAAACCATTTAATTGGCCTGGGTGATAAAGGCACACACCTTAAATCCTCACATACTCCATGGCCCCTGTTATCCTTGAGTAAATTTAAAATTATTTCTATATAGGCAATGTTTCTTTCCGTTTCCTTATGGGGTGAAATTCCTAGCAGGCAAATGAAGAAGAGCTGTGGAAATGCTGGGCTAGATTCTAACTTTACATGAAAACTGAATAGTTCATCATGGATCTGTTTCCATTATTCTCAATTATTATTATTATTATTATTATTATTATTATTATTATTATTAATTGTTTTGAGAAACAGTTTTTTGTGTAGCCCTGGCTGTCCTGGAACTCACTTCTGTAGACCAGGCTGGCCTAGAACTCAAGAGATTCCCCCTGCCTCTGCTTCCTGATTGCTGGGATTAAAAGTGTGAGCCACCACCGCCCCACTAGTCTCAATTTTTAAATAACATATTCAGATACTACTTATGGGGCCCGGGAGATGGCTCAGCAGATAAAGGTGCTTGTTGTCCAGCCTGAGCGCCTGAGTTTGCTCCCTGAAACCCACATGAAGACAGAAGGAGAGATGCTCCTCCTGTAAGTTGTCCTTTCACACTCACCTACACATCCATGCAGAAAAGGATAAAAATGTAAAAAATAAAAGTGCTTTTACAAAGGTAGGAGGGGCCCGCGAGTTACAAACCCACATCTGTCGTCTCAAGGACTATGGGTAGTGAATGGTTGCTGGGCAGCGGTATAGCAGCGGTGCGAAGATAACACACTACACGTACGCTCCCGCAGGCAATCATCACTGAACCGAGTAGAAAAGAGAGGAAAGGAGAGACCGGAAGTAAGACGGGGTGTTTGGGAGAGAAAGGTTTCAGCAGGAGTGGGAGGGGGGTGAGAGAAATTCATTACCTTCATGTATTTTGGTTTGGTTTGGTTTGGTTTTTAGTGACAGGGTTTCTCTCTGTAGCCCTGCCTATCCTGACTCGCCTTGTAGATTAGGCTGGCCTCGAACTCACACAGATCCTCCTGCCTCTATCTCCCTGAGTGCTGGGATTACAGGCGTGCACCAGCGCACCCGGTCGTTATATACATACGTGAAACTATCAAAAAATTAAAATATTTTACTCGTCTTGATTGGTTAGTAGGCTTTTAAACACCCCATTAGGGAGCCGGGTGCTCCCCTCCCTCCTCTCGAGGCCTGTACTGCCGGGCCCAGCCCCTAGCCTCACTTCTGAACCTTCCCCAGAGCTGAAGAGAGCAGAGGGGAGGGTGTCTGCTTCCTTCCATCTTTATTCGGGAGAGCCCTTGAGACCCAGTCAGGCCCCCAGCAACTGTCTTCCGGAAGTAGGGACGGATGTCTCTCCAGTCTCACCCCCAAACCTCTCTTCTCCAGCTCGTCTCTAACCTAAAACCCAGCCGTATCTCATCTCTAATCTCCACATCGCCCCATTTTTAACCTTCACAGCGTCCCCCCCCCCCCCCCCCAGGCGCTTGTGCAGTCTGTGCTTAGTGCGACGGAGTAACTGTCCCGGTGCGCTCAGACTTCAAAACCCGGCACTCCTTTACAGACGCCCACTGAGCCCCCTGCAGAAGCCTGTCCTTCGGGAGGCCTCCAGCCTCGGGAGCGGGCCGCCTCCCCTGTGCGCGCCTAAGACGCCCTGAACAGGCGGGCACAGCGCCATCTCCCCCGAGTCCCCTCTGGGCGCCCAAAATCGAGCGCTACTCCTTCGCCCTCGGGTTTCCTCGCGGTAGCGGCCGCGGGCTGACCGAGAAGTCGCGGCGCAGGGGAGGGGCCGGCGGAGGCGCCCTACCTCCTTCCCCTCCGGGACGAGGGCCTGTGGGCCGCCGAGATCTGGCTTGGGAGACTGTGCAGGCGCCAGTGCCCCGAAACCCTGGTGAGATGCACGCGGGAGGCTTCCCTCCATCCCCAGGAGGAGGACGGCTTCTGCGGGGGGGGGGGGGGGCGGGGGTCGCAAGGTTGCAGGGTCCCTTCGCGCCGGGAGGCTTCGGGACTCGGAGACCGAGCGGTGGGCGATTGCTCACCGCGCAGAACAGCGTCCAGGGTCTTCGGAAACCACCCGGCCTCGCGGGAAGGGCCCGAGGACCAGCGCCGGTGCTGACCCGCCGCCGATGGCCGCCCAAGCAGCGAAGCCAGGTCCCGCGCTCACCGTGGAGAACCCGGCAAAACCAAAACCAGACTGGGCGTCGCGGGGCTCCCCTGGGGAATGGGATCTGGTGGTAGCGCTGCCTGCCTCGCCGAAGCCGCTCCTCTTGGGGTGGACCGTGGGAGCCCGCTGTCCCGGGGCAACGACCCCCTTCTCTCTCTCTCTCTCTCTCTCTCTCTCTCTCTCTCTCTCTCTCTCTCTCTCTCTCACTCTCTCTCACAGCCCCGCTGGGCGCCAGACGGCCGAGCTCGCCGCGGATCCAAGCTCTTCCTTCCGCGGATTGTCCCGGGTCTGTTTCCTCCCTCCTCACCTTCTCGCGGTTGCTGCAGGGCCTCAGGCTGTGACTCCCCTCAGTCTGATTTAGTTTCTGTGGGCGCCTCAGCTCGCGTCTGGTGGCCACAGACCAGCAAGCCACTGCTGCCTCCCAGGTGTGCACGTCCGGATCTGGGCAGCCCGGCAGGCCCCGGGAACCTACGACCTAAAGCACTCAGACCCCGGAGCTCCTTCCTAAGACTCAGAGTTTGGGACTCTCTAGGAGTCAGTGAACCTGGGTTTCCTGCCCCTGAGCCTGCGCAGGAGCCAGGATCTGAGGGTTTGCGAAAAGCCCAGGGGCAGGTTATTGAAGACTCCAGATCCAGCTTTCCCTTCTACCAGGTCAAAGCAAGAGCTTCCAGGAAACCAACAGAGTGCTGATAGCAAAGCGCTGGTGAGCTACACGGCGGGTCCCCAGCATCTTCCCTTGTGCTCCCAGCTTCTGGTGACTGTCCCAGATTCCCCAAGTTCTGGGAGGTGTGTTCTCTCATGCCCCAAACTCCATACCTAGCTCTAGTTCCTGGAAGTCCAGCCCCTTCCACCATCTCCACTCCCACCACAAGCCTCCCCTGAGAGCCTAAGCAGGGCAAACAGCCTGGGCTTGAATTCACTTGTTTGAAAAACAGCTCCAGCCAAATCCTGCGGGAGGTGCGCCTGCCCTCGGGCACTACAGGCTCCCGTGTGCCTCTGAATTCCTTTGGGCACCCACCCCAAATCTACGGAGCTTGCCCAAGGCCTGGGTCTCTCTCTTTCTGTCTAATCTGCCTCTTTCTCACCTCTCCTCTCCTTGGCATGGTCAGAACTTGGTCGTTAGGCCTGAAAATCTACTCAAGGGGTGTCTCACACTCCTGCCTTTTTACTGATTCAAAAAGACAAACAGGTATGGAGGCAAAAAAAAAAAAAAAAAAAAAAAAAAAAAAAAAAAAAAAAAAAAAAAACAAAACTCACCAAGGAGAGGCCCTTATATTCTTAGAACACCTCAAATACCAAATGACAAAATTCTAGGACGCATGTTAGGTATACGGAGAACCCCAAACCCAGAACTACGTCCCAACATACACAGATAGAAATCACAAATAGAGTCACAACAACAGACACGGAGAAACTCTCTGCTGTCTAGAAAAGGAACATCCAGTCCGCACAGGACCCTGAGCTCAGCAGCAACACAGACACCTCCGGAGTCAGCGGGCCTGACCCGGAACCCAGAGCCCATCACACACCAGTCACGTCCTGTAATCTTAAATGCTTCACTTGAGGCTTCACTTGAAAGAAAATCCCCTGCTCTGGGAGGTGGGGGAGATGCAAGCTCCCCAACCCCCCTCGCCCCCATCCAGGTTCTACTGGGAAGAAAGGTGAAGCAAGCATTTGCCAGGCTCCAAAAGGTCGAAGCTCAATAAAGTGGAAACCATTGAACAAAATCTGTGGGAACAGCGCTCCCATTCCCATTTCTTAGGAAACAGGGAAGTGGTTTAACTCGTTCTGCAGATCGACTCCCGATCCACAAGGACTCCCTCCCTCCCGAGAAGAGAGGCCAAGGAGTTGTAGCCTAGATGGTGCCGGGACCCACCTCGGGCGGCAAACTCCTGAGCAAAATCATCCAGCCAGCGCCACTGCCAATAGGCGAGGAAGGATGTACCGAGGCCACTGAGCCTGGCGACGCACGGGAAACAACCACCAGGGAGGGCCTGCACCCTCACGCCTGGCTCTGCCCTGAAGCTGCACACCACTCCTTACCTTTCTTGATCACGGATTGGTCCAGGAGACTCATTGCCGGGTCATCTATCGCCTGCAAATAGAAGAGGGTGGCAGCGAGGGCCCAAGCGTGGACCTAGTCAGCTGTCGCTTCCCAAGTTCGGGCTACCCCTCGTCCAAGTCTGTTCCGCCCTACGCGCACCACCGGCTGCCTGAGGCGGCTACCGGGCGTGACCAGGAATCGCCTGGGCTCGGCACCATCTGCGCCCAAGCTGTAGCCCTGCCTGGGTGATCGCCTTGCCTTACACAGACAACCGCTGCGCCTCTCCTAATCCCAGGCCGGGCTGCCCCGGCGCACTGGGGCTGGGCATGGATGCCCACCGTGGCTCAACCCCGCAGTGGGGAGAGACAGAAGTGATTCAGCGCGGGCCGTCGCCATTCAGGCACGGCGCAAGTACTCTGGGCCGGGCAGCACCCAACGCGGGGGCCCCTGTCCGGAGGCATCCGTGGAAAGTTGCGGGCTGGGAGGAGAGTCCCAGACTCCTGCTTCGGCCACCTTTTGGGTCCAGCCGGGATGCTAAATCGCACATCCGGTCCCACCCCGGGGGGCCTCCCCTCCGGTCTTACCTGCAGCTCCTCCAGGCCGGGCGCCGCCGCCAGGCCCGGAAGACCGAGGGGCGCCTCCGCCAGGCCGTGCGCGCCGTCGGCCAGGCTGTGCAGGAGTCGGGGCACCGCGGCGGCGGCGGCGGCGGCGGCGTAGTCCCGGCGCGGGTCGAGGCCCAGGGCGCGGGCGGGCGGCGCC